GAGCACGTATTTTCTATTTCTCTCCCGCTGTCACCAAAATCGCGTTACTCGCGTTTGCTTCTGAGTAACATCTACTTTTAATGGGTATTGTTTGATTACTGCGGAGAAAAATTTTACCATGTGACTGACTATCGACGTCAGCCGATCAGCTCGCCGTAACATTATTATTATGTGATTTTTCTTGTACATGGTTTAGACAGACCTCCAGTAGTACTACATCACAATTATCCAGGTTAAGCCTTTTTGTAAGTTTCCATAATATTTCAAGGGCCTTTCCATGCCCACCACAGTCTTCTTCAAGGACCTTCATTAGGAGATAATGCATGTCAAAGATTGACCGCAAAGTGCCATCTTTTTGACAAATTTTGGGTGTTTCCAAGGGAGAAACTGGTAAAAATATGCGTTTTTGAGTGTACTTCTCAAAAGGGCGAGAAACTGTTGCTGTGCAACATGGAAGTAGAAAAGCACCATCATATGGGGCATGTTGCAACAAAACCAGACAAAGTGAACATTTTATAAATATAAATGAGAGGCTGATTGTGATGTGGCTGTAAAATTGACCAGTATTACTGATGACGTTTTGAAAAGTAACTTATGGACTGGTTAACAGTCACTGGACATTTCACTGACTTACAATTTCATATAGTGTTACACAAAATAATTATTTGTTTTGATACTGACATGAATTTTCTCTTTGATAACAATATGATAGTAACAATTACAATGATAAATAAACTTATGCCTCTTGTTATGCTTTGTGTGTTGTTTTTTTTTTTTTATTTTTTTTTTTATTTTTTTTGGCTGTTCGCGTTTTTTGTAAGTTAGCGTTTTTTGTACCGTTAGATAACAAACGTATGGCCTCTGAAGTTCCTACTCGCGTGCTCTATTTTGTAGTAACAGATTGTGGATAAAACGTTTAGTTAGAGAGTTATGCCTGTTCAAAGTTGTATGCTTTTTTACCTTTGTGAACATATTCTCCTAAAACTTACATAATATGGGGGGTACGATATCCATAGTGTTACAAACATAGGGGAAGCCCCATATTAAATTTTCATATAAAAGTTTTTTTTTTGCAGATCATCTGCCGATCATTTTACAATAGTAAAAACATATAAACTTCAAACTGAAACTGGCTTCGAAGGAAGGAAGCTGCGGCCTCGAGACTTTGCCAGCTGACAGTTTAGCACATGTTTCATAAACTGACGGAGATTTTTTTTATTTACGTTACAAAAAAAAAATAATTAAAAATTAAAATTTAAAAAATTTTTAATAAGCAAACTAACGTTTATGTCAATAAAAACGACGAACGGATAAAGCATCAGTTTGTTAGTAAATGGGATCGAGCACATCTGGTTTTAATTTCATGAGCATACCTATTTTCTATCAGCGTGGGTTTGAATTTGAAACTATCGTATTAGTTAATAAACTAATGATCGGCAATCAAAGGCTTAATATAGAATTATAATAGCGCCACTTCTTCAATTCTTGGCAGATTTATTCCAATTGTTGTAGTTCTAGACAACAAACAGTTGAATGCAAAGCTGGCTAGGAAAAAAAAATCTGCAGTCAATATATTTCAGATTTTTCATGCAAAATAAGATCATCTTTAGAAAATTCGCCATGACTACTATGCTTTTAGTGAAAACACTGATAGGCCAAACATTCAACAGTATAGTACATCCACCATTGTTATATTATGAAGGGTAATGTTTCAAACAGTATAGCAATAACTCTCATCATCAGTAAATAATGCAAATCATAATCAGCAGACAACCTTATCAGGGGGTTACCTGACCACCCACGGGCTTCGCACCCCGGCCTTGCGGCCGGCGCACGCCGCTTCTCACACTGTCCCAAAACTGCGATTAGTAAATTTCTTACCAGTGGTGGGATATTTTTGGAGTAAAAAACAGAATTCAGCATTAGAACGGCAGTGAATGGCGAAAGCTAAAATACCGCTTCGGACACCTCAACAAGAACAAGAATTACAAAATAAAAGAGCTGAATTAGCTAGTTTAGAAAAACAAAACCAAGAACAAGATAACACCAATAAAACTAATTATTTTCCTTACATTTTAGGAGGAATAGGAGTAATAGTAGCAATATCCTTAATTATTTACTTTATCAATAAAAACAAGAATTCTACTAAGCACTAATTTTATTTTCTCCTTTTCTTTCACTCATAACTTTTCCATCTCCTTAAAGGTCAAATCTACTCCTAAATAATTCCTATTTAATTCTTGACAAATATCTAACAATTGAAAACTACCAGCACACGGATCAACAATTAAATCTTTCTCTTAGCATACTGAGGAATGTGTATCAACTGTGAATGGGTATAATGGAATGTGCATTGGTCCTTGCATTACTCGTCCACTTTCTAATATAGTCTGATAGCTAGGGATTCTAACAATTCATATATTATAGGTATAGAAGAATTAATATAATACATAGATAGATACTAATAAATTCATAAATTGTTCAATATAAATTTTCTACAACTCCATTACGCACAACTACTCTATGTGCTAATAATTTAGAAATAGCAGGAGGAACATGATGATGAAGCAATTGAAGCTTTTTGTTGATCTCATGTGCTTCGCGTTCTAAAGGAGTCATCTCATCAACAAAGTCATCGAGATTACCTACATCTTCACTATCGTTATCTTCATTGATCACAGTCAGTTCATGTGGAACAACTCGTCGTTCATAAGTAGGGAATTGGTCTGCAATTTCTCCCTGGATCAAGTCGGGATTCAAAACCATGCGTGCAAATGTTGCTGCCACATGTGTATCATCAAACCAAGCTGTAAACACCGCAAGTTCAGATTGATTATGGTAGGCAACCCAGAAGAAACCAAACTTTTCAAAATCTGTCAATATCACAATTGGTTTTTCAGCTGAAATAGTGTTTGCAGCAATTAATTCTGCTGTTGCTTGGTTGACGTCACTTGAACCTTGAATTTTCTGCATTAAATAAAAATGGTTAAATATAAATAAATAATTACATTGATCAGACTGAACGTGCCTTTTTTACTTCAATCACGATTTTAATCCCTTGTTTATGGAACGGCGCCTTTGTTTCTTTGTAAACGGATACATCGCATCCTCCATTAAGATGTGAAGTATTTAAGTAATTCTTGTCCATATGAACGTTCTCCACAACGTTGCCGCAAAGATATCGGGATCCAAGAAATTTGTTTCGGATATACTCAGTATAATCATCAGCTTGTTGATTTTCTGTACGGTCTTCATCCCATCGAAACAGTCCTGGGTTTCTACCAATTAGACGAAGAGCATTAAACAGTTCTCCGACATCCCTCAGGGCATCTGCAAGGCCAAATTTTCTTGTAATCTTCAAAGAGGACATGGCAATGGGTTCCTCGTCTCGCTGACGTTTCAGAGTTGTGGCGACTACAGATTCGATAAGATTTGGATCTAGAGGAAATAAATTTATGTAAGCGCAAGTCAGTCAGCATCGCAAATAGGCGAAAGCTATACTTTTTATGTGTTACTAAAGTAACCTTCTCCCATAAAACAGTATTAAAACCGTATTGCTACATTACTACAAGTGGAATAGCATTTGGTATGCTCTTACTCTACGCTCCTCACTACGTCTACTCTACCCTATGTACACACTACTCTATGCCCCCAACGCCCCGAGTCACAAAGTCGTTACCTGGCTCAGGTTTGATTATATGTTTAGCAGCACGGTGGCCGCAATCAGAACAAGTTCTTCCACCAACGTCAGGATCAAACTCATTGCAACCACATTCATCAACGTAACACTTGAGACGGAAGGTGCCATCACAGTCTTTCATTTTCAATCAGACGAAAAGATGGTTCTACGCGATGTCGATGTGTTCTAATATAACTAACGCGCTTAATCAATGACGTATTCTTAGGAACTTTCTAGACCTTTTCATAATGTAAAACTGTCGTATATAAATCCCCGTCACCGTATAAATCCCGGATTTATATGTATAAATGCCGTACCACGATTTATATATGTAAATCCCGTCAAAGTACCCCATAAATCGAGATTGGACTCTAAAATTTTTTGCATCTCACGTACTGTATAGTAGCATACTATATTTCATAAATAACTTATTTTCTCAAAATTGACTAATAATCGCTAATACTAACAATATTAAAAGCACAACTTCAACCATTTTTACAACTAACGCTAGTTTTGTGTATTAAGTTTTGTGACATCGACCATCACATTTCTTTTTTGCTTTTCTACAACCACATCGGCCATCAGTGCATCTGCCTCTACAAGCACAACGTATCTGCCGACTGCTGCCCGACACAACACTTTGACCTCTTGCCGCCTCTCTCAATGTTACTTGTCGCTGAGGCATATCAAATAACTCAGGAAACTCAGCCGCTTCCACTAAGTTCAAGTCATTGCATCCGTAAGTAACGTTCAAAATCCCAGAAGCATATCCTAGCCGATACTTTCCGTTTGTCTTTTCGATTATTTGCAAGGTAGTGACGGCCGATCCACAATGTGATCGAACAGTAACTATAGATCTATCAAATTTCACATGATCCGTCCGTATTTAGTCCAAATTTGGTTGACAAGTCGGCTGGTGTGTGTGTGTCGCACCACCTTAAAGCTTAAACCGAAACGGTTAAGTTGATTTGAATGGAAAATTTTATTAACGTATTCAGTAACTCAAAGCCTTTCACAATATTTACAAATTGAAGGAATATCGCTAACGTATTCGGTAACTCAAAGCATATTTTCACAATGATGTGCCGAGCCACGTTTATTACGCTCTCGTTTCTCAGTTCTTCTCGCTAACGTTTACTCAAGCATACTCACAATGATATGTCAGGCGATGTTTATTCACAATGGTATTTACATCTCCGTACCAATAGAAGGACTATTCGCTAACATATTCTGTAACTCAAAGCATTCTTCAATTAATTTAGATGTAGTTGTAAGAACTCCGTGTTTGCACACGAGAAGAAATGTACCACACATGCACAGTAGCGATAGTGGCGAAGGCCATTATGATCATAATGCTCCCTCAACCAGCAATATTGTTTTTTCCCGGAGGCTATAAGCTATGCAGCAGCTTGCAAAGCTTGTTCAGTTTGTTGTTCGAGGAGATTATTAGCTGATAGCGATGTAGTTGTAGAAAAGCAAAAAGAAATGTGATGGTCGACGTCGCAAAACTAGCGTTAGTCATAAAATAGTTGAAGTTGTGCTTTTAATATTGTTAGTGTTAGCGGTTTTTGAGAAAATAAAGTTGTTTATGAAATATTCCGCGGAAGACATCTATTATGGCAATTCGATGTTGGATTGAGGAGGAAAAGAAGAAAACCGTAAACGACGAAGATGGCGGGGATGAAAATCAAGACATAGACGATAATGATTTCATTATTAATAATACCAATGGTAAAAATGGTAAAAATATTTAGATTTCGCTCCAGAGTGACCAAAGAATAAATTATACTCACAAATGGCTTTGGGTCCGAGTATTTTCCTCCCATGCAATCACTCTGGTGTGCATTTATTATTATTTATATTTCAAAAGCGATCGCACGCTATAATAAAGATATTAAAATTGTGCTTACAAAAATTGAATTCTATTTTGTAATTTTTACTCGGTTGCAATTGTGTCAAAGTTGCGAAATATGATCAACGCTCAACTAATGCGTTCGGGCAGTCTTCATCAATAAGGAACAATTTTGTTGACAATCAGTGGAGGCGTTTGCAGGAAGCTTTATTTTTCTTACGTTTCAAGTTTTTGTTTCTTTCTTGTTCATCATAAGTTGAGGTTACTGCTCGTTTATTATTCGTTCTTGTTGGTAAATTTCATAAGTGATTTTTTCTTGATCTAGATATTCTTGGAGTGTTTGGGTATCATTGATTGATTTATTGTATCCAAAGGATTTTTGAAACATTTATCAACATTATTATTATTATCGCGTGTTCTTCACTGGATAGATGACTGGCAACTGCAAGACCAGGAGGCTAACTTTTGCACAGATGGTTGCTAATCATAGCTCTGACTTGAAACTTTTGATTTTATTGACTATATTGGACAGGCAGTATTTGTTAAGATTGGCATTATTGTCAATAACAATGACATGAGAAAAATGTATTTTGCTGCCCCTACTTTCAGATTATCCTGGCCAACTGGCTGTTCACTGTATTAGTATCTGTCACTATTACTATACCCAAGTTTTTTTATAAACATATTTAAGCTTTTGGACAAGAATTTGTTAATTACTTGCTTGAAAGAATTTGGCAGAATGATGCTGTACTGCAAAGACTGCAACACCAGAATATGAAGGAGAAGAGGTTGAAAAATCTCTCACAAGAAAAATACTTAAAATGATGTAAGTTTAATTTATGAGTACATCTGCTATTTAAGAATAATAAAATTTAATTTTCAAAAATTAAGACAACCATATTTAATATTGGAGAGATTCAACTCTCAGGATTTTAATCTGTAATATTAATTAAAAGATGTGGTAATTAGTGCTGATGTTGGACATATATTTGGTTTAGATGGGTTCCTTGATTCTATGTCATGGTAAATATGCTAGGTAATTAAACTGCAGCGCAAGAGCAAAAAGGGTCCGGGATTATGCAAAATAATTTGAACAGGATGGCCAATATAAAGTAATTCCAATAAATGAAAGGGTTATTATTGAACTTTTGTCATTACTCCAAATATGTCAGAAGATAATTAGGAGCATGTTATAATTATATGTCATAACAAGCAAAACTATAAATCAGGGATGAGTTTAAGTAAT